AAGAGAAGTACCACCTCCCTCCCCCATTTGTGGGGGAAGAAATACATAACCCTTCTTGATGCCATTCTTAGTCCTTGTCTAGTCTTGGGGACCCAAGCTCCTAAGTCATCACCTTTTTTTTTTACCAGAATTTTTAAGAAACTGTCTCTATTCCTCTCTCTCCCATCTCTATTAGTTTTCTTCTCCATGTTGGCTTTGTGCCTCCTTGAACTTACCCACAGTAAGTCTCTTTCCCACAGTGAGTTGGGAGCCTTGTAAGGGCAAGGGCGTCTCTCATTCCTCTGTGTGTCTACTGTGCCCAGAACAATGCCTGCTGCAGGTACATAAAAGCAGGGCAGTAGCAGCCACCTTTGAATGTTTTCCCTCTGCTGAATACTTAGAATGGACTCTGTTTTAATCCCTTTAATGCTCACAACATCTTTGCGAGGGAGTAGAATACTGTTAGTATTCCCCCCCCCCTTTTTTTTTAAACCCTTGGGTATTCCTATTTTAAAGATGGGGAACACATTTTAAATAACTTGGTTAAAGTCACACCACTGTGTTTGTTTAGTGGCCAGTTCTTATCTCTTCACTTGGCTCTTGAAATGAAAAAGTAAAATGATTCAAAGACAAAAAGTAGAATAAGAAGAGAAAAGGTCTGGAAGATAAATATATGGTATAAACAGCCCCTAGAATAATCATGTCGTTTCAGTGAGAGGGTCATTTGCCCTTTGTAAAACTTTGCCCCCTTAGTTACACTGTTCTTTTCTAGTTTAAAATGCTTCAAATTATGTCATTAAACTTAGCAAACAACTTGGCATAGAATTGTATTTCTAAGTTTTTCAACTTTTAAGCATTTCCATGTTCAGAAATTATTTGAGCCCTAATTGGAAACTGTGGAAACAGAATATATTTATGTGCAACGTATATTCTTTTTTACTTTTCTAATCATGTATCAGTTCAAAACAAGCAGAGTGTGTTAATTTGCTTGGGCAAATAATCATGAAGAGAATATTTCCAAATAATTTGCCTTCTTGTTGCTTATAAGATTAACATTTAGCAGAAAGTTTTCCTTAACCAAATAAAAATTGGGGGTAATTATTAGTTGATATTTTTATTATTCATTATGTTTTTAGCTGCTTTTTGTGTGCGTGTGTGTGTGTGTGGCTTGGCCAGTATGGAAATCCGAACCCTTGACCTTGGTATTATAACACTGCGCTCTAACCAACTGAGCTAAGCAGCCAGCCCTTCATATTTTTAAAACATCAGCTTTGGATAATTGTACTGTCAGATGTCATCTCCAGTTTAGCATAGAGAAAAAAACCAAACTAGTTTATCCATAGGTATAGTATAAGATGGTAGAGGAAATAATGTAACTAAACTCATTTTATAAAAGTTGTTTTGTAGGAAAGATATGAATTTATCATATTTCAAATACATATGTATTAGTGGTTTGATATAATTATAGTAGTAGCATTAACCATTATCAATAATTAAACAATAAAAGAAAGAGTTTTTTAACTACCTGGACTTTTTAATGCTTACGTACTTTTACTGTTGGTTTGATATAATTATAGTAGTAGCATTAACCATTATCAATAATTAAACAATAAAAGAAAGTTTTTTAACTACCTGGACTTTTTAATGCTTACGTACTTTTACTGTAGCCATTTAAAATCCCCCCTTTCTTTGGTAGAGAGGGGATAGCCAAGTGTATATTATAAATAAAACTTGGTAAATTTTATTTCCTGTATAATTGACATCATTGGAAAGGTGAGATTTACTTTACAGTTAATTTCTAAAACATAACTTTTATAAAATGAGGGACACTTGCAATAAAGAATAATTGTAATTGCCACTTGTTCACAGTGATGACTTGGGAGTTGGGGCTAAAAAATAGCAGGTTCAGATTGTATAAAGAGGGTTTAAGTTAAAAATCAACTATATATGGGGTTGTAGATTCTTCTCACTGGCTATTTAAATAATAGGTGTGACTAGCTGCAGTTATTCAGATTGTTTGACTTTGAATGGAGATGGTCCTCTAGATTCCAAGATCAAGGCAAAGAAATGACATGAATGGAGTGGACACCTGAGCCAGCTTTCTGTCCTGGGGCAGTAGATCCGATAATTCATGTATCCAGCAAACAATGCCAGACAGGCCTCCTAGGGACACCGCAGAGCCAAGGATTTGGACTGAATGATCGTTCAGTCCCTTTCATCCTCATTTAAATAACTTTTAATTTTAGTAGATTTTTCCATCTGTTTCACTAATTTCCATTGAAGCATCCTTAGTAAAATTTATTGTACATATAAAAAATTATTGTGTGTAACTTTTGGGTTTCTTTTTTGCCCTCTTTGGTTAGATTGAACTGAGGAAAAGATATTTTATTAACAAGTTTTAATTCTCTTGGAAAATAACATGAAACCTACATTATTTGGAGTGTTTTAAGTTTAAATGGAAACAGCAGTTGAGTGTTAACAGATGTGATGACAAAGGCCATGTGGCCTGCCCCTCCATACTCTTTGAAGCGTTTTGTGGTCCAGAAAGTTTTTTGAATTGATATCTTGTTATACGAATGTTTATATTGTCATTTCTATACCTTCATTTCCAGAGTGAATGAATCATTTGTGATATCCTTCCTAAATCCCTTTCGTCTGAAAAAAACCATCATTTTTTATCTGATTGATGGGTTTATTTTTATTTAATGACAAGTGGTAGTGAGTTGTTTGTTATTGCGGGAGTTAATCTAATACTAGATTTGGGAGGGTCCTAGGATGTCAACTAGTCCAGCCTTACAGTTGGTGCAGGAATGCCTTATGCAGAATATTAGATAGATATTTACCCAGCCTTTGCTGGAATGCTTTAGTGATGGGAAACTTACTACCTTTTCCAGTGTTTTAATGGCACTATTGAGTAGCTCTCTCTGTTTTTAAGCTGAAGTGTGCCTCCTGGTTTATTATATCTTTGGTCTTTTTCTTATTGACAGCCATATTTCTCTCCTCTCTGAGCTTTCATTTTCTTATCTATAAAATGAGTATAAATTACATGACCTGGTTATCTCGCCAGGATTGAGGTAAAGAACAACCAAGATAATAGTGATTTAGGCAAAATTGTTTTCAAGTCTCAGAGTATTAATATCTTAGTTTTTATCTCTGGTGTCTGTTGTAATGGGAAAAAATAGCAGTGTGTTGTCCAGTGGCTCAGGAGCCAAGATGGATACTTTCTGGTTGATGTTCTGGCCATTAACAAAGGAATTAATTTATCTCTTCTTTGAACATTTATTGACCATTCACTATGTGCTGCAGCACTTCCTTGGGCCTAAAGTGAATATAAAAACAGTGAATAAGACATATACCTTCCATGCCCTATTGGGCCTTAGGTTTTCTTCTCTGGATATTTTTACTTTGAGACATAAATGGTTTTGACTGCTCAAAATAAAATATTATTATTTTACTCTTCGTAATGTTTTTGGTTTTCCAACTAGTCCAATATTTAAAAGTATGTCTTTGATTTGTAGATATATGGAGTCTGGGAGTGATCCTTTTCATGTTGGTGTGTGGGCAACCACCCTTTCAAGAGGCCAATGACAGTGAAACATTGACAATGATCATGGATTGCAAATATACAGTACCATCCCATGTGTCTAAAGATTGTAAAGAGTAAGTAAAAGAAATATGGAAACCTTAAGGACTCACATTAAAACCAAAAATTTTAAGTAATTCCATTAACATGTTAAGAAAATTTGAGATGACTTCAACATTCAAGCATCTGGGTTCATTTTAATTTTTAAATATACTATTTCTACTGTTGATAAGAGTGAGTTTTTTTTGGGGGGGAGGGAGTTAGTCCCAGAATGTGATTTGAAGTTTAATATTAGAGTACAAAATATATTAGTCTTTTTCTCAAATACAACTGTTTTCAAGAAATCCATTACATGCCTCTTCAAGCCTCCAGGAGTGGTGGATACTTCACTTGAAGCAAAGACATTACCATGGGAATTACCTTTCTGTACCTCAGTAAAAAGCAAGACTACCTGAAATTGTTTTAAGTTCCAGAGACAAGTTGGGACATTTTCTTTCCTGAAAAAACCATCAACTCACCCATTTTAGGATTTACATAGCATGTCCCAATTTTATTCTGACACTCCTCCCATGTTGACTAAAGAGCTGTTTTGTTTATGTGACTATGGGAAGCCAACAACAAAAAGTATATTCAAGTTGATTATTTGGAGTTTAGAATACTATATAGTACTGATTCTGACACTCCTCCCATGTTGACTAAAGAGCTGTTTTGTTTATGTGACTATGGGAAGCCAGCAACAAAAAGTATATTCAAGTTGATTATTTGGAGTTTAGAATACTATATAGTACTATGATATGTGTAGTAAGAATGCAGTAATGGAATAGAACTGTTGGAAGTTCAGTATTTCATTGACATTAGGAATGATATTTTTAAATGAGCTCAGCTGAGATTATAGCTACCACTTAAAGGATTTGCTGTGGTAACAAAGTTTTTACTTTCTCCTATCAAGTGTTAAGAAAAAAATCTGTAACTTGAAGTTTTTCTCTCAGTGCAGCCCATCTTAGGTGAACGGTTAAGAACTTTGGTATTCAAACTCTCTGGATTCAAATGAATTAATATATGTAAACCTTTACCAGATAGGAAGCACACAATGAATATTGATGATGATGGTGATGGTGACTTTTTTTATGTCCTTACTGTTATTATTCTTTACCCAGGAAGCAGGGCTGCTGTCTGTGGGTATATGTTATATGCATGTTAGGTGTTTATAATTCAAGGAATATCTATTGATACAGCTCCTATTGAAAAAACTAAAACAGATGAACTTATTTTTACATTGACATATATCATTCAAAGAATGTATAAAATGTATATATAATAAAATGAACACCTTTGTACTCATTATCCAGCTTTAAGAAATAGAAGCCATCTGTTTCCCTTCTAGAAGGATTATTTTTAATAATTATAGGACAATTTAGGTTTTTTTTTTTTTTTTACTCTGTCCTGTGTCAGTTTTGCTAAGCTGTGTTTTTTAAGGAACTTGTCCATTTTATCAGTTTTTCAAATTTATTGACCTCATGTAATTATCATACTCTTTAATTATGTTTTTAAAGTCTGTAGGATCTGTGGAGATGTTTCCCTTTTTCATTCCAATATTGACAATTGATGCCTTTTCTTGTTTTTGTCTTGATCAGTCTTGCCAGAAGATTGTTGATTTTACTAGTCTTTTTCGAGGAACTGCCTTTTGCTTTTATTAACTTACTATTATATTTTTTATGTTTTATTTTCTTTTCTCTTGTCTGTATTATATTCTTTCATGTACTTCCATGGGCTAATTCTGTTCTTTTTCTTATGTTGGATACTCAGCTCACACATTTTCCTTTTTAATGATAATATTTAAGGGTGTAAACTACCTTCTAGTACCATTTTAACTGCATCCCACTAGTATAGATTTTTTAATCTCTTTGTTATTCAGTTCTAAGTATTTTCTAGTTTCCACTGATTTATTTGATACATGAGTTGTGTTTAGGAATGTTTTAAATTTCCAAACATATGACATTTTTCTAATTAGCTTTTTGTTAATTATTTCTAACTTAATTTTACTGTGGTCTGAGAATATAGTCTCTATGGTACCAGTTTGTTTTTGTTTTTTTTTTTTTCAAATTGTTGAGGCTTGCTTATGGCCTAGCATGAGGTCAATTTTTTATAAATGGTCTTTTTGTTCAGGAAAAGAATGTATATTTTCCAGTTGTTGGGTTCTATATAAATACTTAAGATCAAGCTTATTAATTATGCCATTCAAAATTATTTATATACTTTCTGAGATTTATTATTGCTTGATCTATCTGTTACTGAGATATCTTTTCACTGATGAATTCATTGTTTTATTCTTGGATGTCTGTCAGTTTTTGCCTTGAGTGTTTTTGAGGCAATGTTATTAGGTGGTTGGGCAATTTTATTAGCAAACAAACAAAAACCATGTATCTTTCTGATGAACTTAACCTTTGTTATCAGTTTGTATAAAAGAGGTAGTGACCCCTTTATCTCTAATAATGCTTTTTGCCTTAAAGTTGATCTAACAGCCTGGAACTGGGGTTTTTTAAAAATCCCATATGATCATGTTTGTCTTTTAACTGGAGAACTTATTCGATTTACATTTGTCGAGATCACTGATGTAGATATATTTATGCCATCTTTTTATATGCTTTATATTTGTCCTACTTTTTCAGTTTTTTTCTTTTTATCACATCCCTCTTTGGGGTCGATGGTTTTTCTTTTTCCCCCTCATTTGACTTTTCTCCTTCAACTTGCTGGGAAGGTATAGTTTGTTATTTTAGTGGTTTTCCTACCTATATTAACACACACATACGTGTTCGTATACTTAATTTAACAAAACCTGTATTTAATCCTTATCTTTATTCTCTTCCTAAATAATACAAAATCCTTAGAACATTTTAACTACTATCTGATATTTTAGTAATTTTTTCCTAACTCCACCAATTACATAAAATTATTATATACAATAAAATATTGTTTATAATTATCCAGATGTTTGACAAGAACTTTGTTTACTCTTCCATTTGGGATCACATTCCTCTGCCAGAATTACTCCCTTTAGAATTTGTTTTAATGAGCATATGTTTGTGATAAACTGTCTCAGTTTTTATTTGAAAATATTTTTATGTCACATATGCTCTTGAAAGACAGTCTCATTGAATGTAGAACTCTAGGTTGACAATTATTTTCTCTTGGCTCATTGAAGAAATTATTCTACTACTTTCTGTTAACCCCTGTTGCTGTTGAGAGTCAGCTATTCATCTTATTGTCCCTACATAGGTATTCCGTCTTTTCTTTCAGGCTCCTTTAAGATCTTCTGTTTATTTTGCTTAGGATATATTAGGCTTCCTGGTTCAGGATTTGTGTTCTACAAATTTGGAAAATCCTCAGCCATTACCTTTTCAAACATAGTTCCCCATTTTCTCATTTCCTTCTGGAACTCTGATTACATGTATGTTAGATATTTTTACTCTGTCCTCCTTGTCTTTTAATCTTTCATATTTCCTATCTCAGTCTACAAATACAGGGTTATTTCCTTGACTTTATCTTTCATTTTATTAATTCTCTTTAGTGTAATTTTTAAAATTTGTCTGTTGATTTTTCTTTCTTTCTTTTTTTTTTTTTAGTTACAGTGATTTTTATTTCCCTCTTTTAGAAGTCCTATTTAGTTTTTCTTGGGATGCATTGTAATTTTGTTCCCTGGTCATATTTTCAAACTTCTTTATGTCTTAAGCATATTTAACACAGTTATATTCTGTGTCTGAAAATTTCAGTATCTGAAGCATTTGCATTCTGATTTTGCTGTATGTTTCTTAGGTCTTGCTAGTGGTGCCTTGTTTCCTCTGTGTTTTTTGATTGTGATACTCTCTGAAATATTATTTGGGGAAATCCTTTGAAGCCTGGTTTTAAGTTACCTACAGAAAGGAGTTATCATTGCTTCTCTACTAGTTGCCCAGGAGCACTTCCAGCTGAAACCACTTTAAATTAACTCCACTTTTTATACCACACAGATATTAATTTGGATCATAAACTTGTGAAAGTTTATGATCCTTATAGTTACAGGTTCTTGGAAGGAATTCTCCCACCTCACATCCACAGCCAGTGTTGAGGCAAGCAGGTTTTCTTCTTGACCCCCTTTGAGTAGTGGATTTGTTTCTCATTTCCCATTCACCTTCACACTAAATAAAGCTGGGGCCTAGCCCTTTGCAAAAGCTCTAGTTGTACTACCCACTGCCACTAGGCTCCACATGTGATATTCTTCTGTTGCATGTACCCATTGTAGCCTTCAAAACCAGAGCAGAAACAATCAGGCCAAAGGCCAGCTTTGTCATTTGCCTCCTAAGGATCCTGCTTTTACACCATTTTTAGTTGCTGAGAATTTCTTATTTATTTATTTATTTTGCCAACACAGTGGCTTTAAATAAAATACATTTCTAAAAATATATTACATGACATTTTAGTTGTTTCATCAGGAAAGTCATTCATTCTTCCTGAAATAAGTTGGCTTGTACACTGTATTCTGTATGTCATTGCTGATAATTTATCTGGTTCTGGTATGCTACTAAGCCAGGAGTTAATTTAAGAACAGATGCTGATACCTAGAGTTAACTGTAGATAATAGGGAACTATATGAGGGTAGTTGAAAAAGTTCGTGGGAAAACAAAGGAGATAGTACAAATTTTTGCATGAACTTTTTGAAGTACCCTCCTATTTGTGTATTTGGCTTATCCGTATATTTGGAGGTTATGATTTTTTATTTTACGAATATGAAGGCACTAAATTTTTATTATTCCCCTCTGTCCCCTACCCTACCACTAGTGAACCTAATTAAATTGATGGTATAGGAAATAATTTTTATTAATAAAATAGTCCACCATCACTAATCTTTGCAAGCACTTTGGTTTAACAGTGGACTTCACCTTCCTTTCCAGCCTGATCACACGGATGCTGCGGAGAGATCCCAAAAGAAGGGCCTCTTTAGAAGAGATTGAAAACCATGCTTGGCTTCAGGGAGTGGACCCTTCACCAGCCACAAAGTATAACATCCCCCTTGTGTCACACAAAAATCTCTTGGAAGAGGAGCACAACAGCATCATTCAGCGCATGGTGCTTGGGGACATCGCTGATCGAGACGCCATCGTAGAGTATGTCAGTGCTTATCAGTAAAGGGGGCCATGGGTTTAGGATTCTTGGAGTGAGCTCTCTTCTTTACTCACCAGAGCCTTTGGACACTGTAACAGAGTTCCCAGTTGGTAGGAGTTATGTCATTTATCTCTAGAGTTCCTGGGCCAGTGGTAGGAGTTATGTCATTTATCTCTAGAGTTCCTGGGCCAGTGGTAGGAGTTATGTCATTTATCTCTAGAGTTCCTGGGCCAGTGGTAGGAGTTATGTCATTTATCTCTAGAGTTCCTGGGCCAGTGGTAGGAGTTATGTCATTTATCTCTAGAGTTCCTGGGCCAGTGGTAGGAGTTATGTCATTTATCTCTAGAGTTCCTGGGCCAGTGGTAGGAGTTATGTCATTTATCTGTAGAGTTCCTGGGCCAGTGGTAGGAGTTATGTCATTTATCTCTAGAGTTCCTGGGCCAGTGTTTGACACAAAGGTTTTTTTGGTTCTTTTGTTTTTGTACTAGTGAACAAGTAAGCCATTGCTGGGTGGTATCAGTGAATTCTGTGGCTCTTCTCCATTCCTGTAGTAGTGGATTGGAATAGCTTTTTTTCTATCCTAGTATATACCTTGTGTGTGGTGGTGTCCTCTTCAATTCTGTGTCTCCTTGTCCCCACAGTGAGTAGGGCAAACAGGGCAGCTCCACAGGCTTAGAGCCCTTTAAATCAGGGGTTGGTAGATGAGGCCAGTCACATGGTTTCCCCCCTCCCCCCCCTTTTGTCTTTTTTCGTGACCGGCAACGGATCGCAACCCTCAGTGTCACGCCCGTACCAGACCGGGACCGGCAACGGGATCGCAACCCTCGGTGTTGCACCCGCACCTCTCTCAGCCAGTGAGCGGCCGGTCTGTATGTGGGATCCGAACCCTCGGCGGGAGCGCCGCCACACTCCCAAGCGGCGCACTGTAGCAGTGCACCACCAGGCCGGCCCAGTCACATGTTTTTATAAGTAAAGTTTTATTGGACCATGGCCATACCCTCTGGTTTATGTATTGTCAATGATTGCATTGTGTTGCAACAGCAGAGTAGTTGCAAGAGAGACCACATGACCCACAAAACCTAAAATATTTACTGTCTGGCTCATTTGAGTCCCTGCTGCAGCAACTTGGAACCTGCAAATTACACAAGTTGTTAATTTAATCCTTAAACCAGTCAGTTTTTAATAACCTAAGCAGTTTGGAATCAAGGATAATACAGAGTAAAGATAGTCATTTTGTTCTAATGATGATTAATTTCTATAAGAGGTCCTGACTATAAAAATGTGGAGCATTTCCATAAACGAAAAATCGAAGTTATTTAATGTGTTGAGTGAAACAGTTGGGTGTGATAGAAAGGGTATACTTTGAGAAGCAAAAAGGGGTTTCCCATTGGGAGGGCCACTCTGGCCTGGCTGTGGGATCTGACCCAGTTACCTGTCCTGGGGAAAGAGAAGGCTGCAGGCTGGACCTACACACCCTGCCATGTGTTGCACTGTCACATGTGTACCTAGCAGGAAGCACTGTTTCCTGAGAAGGGTGATGTTTGTATAAAGGACATATATCTTTAGGATGTGTTTTTAGTACACTGGAAAGAAACATTGACAAAAATAAACCCAGGTTCTTAATTTTGGTTTAAGTACAAATTTTTACAAGTTTCCAAAGTATATTGTGAGTCTTCACAGATTGACCCACAGCTACTTAAGTGACCTAAACAAGCAGAGAAGAACAGGGCACTTGCTATTTCTGCCAAAGACAATCACTGTAGAAAATGATTTTTCACTTTTGAGTGAGTAAAAAGGCTGAATCTCCCTGAATTAGTCTAATGTTCTTAGCTTAAATAAATACATACATGCAGTAGTGTCACATGAAACAATTAATATGAATTCAATTATAAATCCAAAAGAGGGGGGCAATTTACATGGTTCGGGCGACTCCAGTTTGCCCATCCACCAGTTTCCCAAGTGTGACAGGAGCTGGGAGACCCAAGCTTGCTGTTCCCTCAGCTATTCTCACTTCTTGCCTGCTGCTCACATTAGGAGAAGCTACTCATTCTGAAGGTGATTCCTGAGTTTAAACACACGTTTGTCTTACCATATGTCCCCTAAACACAAGCCAACTGCTTTATCCAGTACTCAGCTGAACATACCACTCTAAGAAATAACTCTACCCCTGAATTTCGCCTTGGGCTGTTCCTTCGTTATCTCGTGCCTGCCCCGCCCCCATTAGCCCTGGCCTTGCCGTACGTTTTGTAAACAGTGATCTCTGCTGTTGCTCCTTTCCCAAGTGTTTATTGCGTGAGTATTTCCACTAACTACAGAAGGTTTCTAAAAGCTGTAGTTACATATTTCTGGGCATTGTGGCATCCTCCAAAGCTCTCTTGTGGCACGTCCCATGAAGGCTAGCTTCAGGAGAGCGGGCAGGGCCGGGTGCCTTGTTGGGCATTATGCCCCCAGCACCTAGCGAGCACAGTGCCTCTAGGTACTTGGCGAGTACTGCTTTTTAAATGGATGAATGAATATGTTGATTTTATTAAGTGAGGTTAATGATGACATGCTCTCAATTGCGTTAGTAATTCAATACTGCCTAAAATGCCAATAAATGCAAAGAGTGTGAAAATAAAAATATTTCCTAATTTTTATGATTGGTGCTGGTGCTTCAGTGCACATTAATGTAACACAGACCTTGTCTTCATTTTATACTTCTAATGGAAGCAAGCCAGCTTAACAAATGCAAACACTTCATAACACACGTTTTCCAATAATGTGTTACACTCTTGGAAGCTTCATTACCTTTTCTTACGCATCTAAAACTGATATCCTGCTCAGTTGCTATCAGCCTTTTGGACTTTTCTCACTAATATCATTTTATGCCATTATTTATTTTAGAATTTCAAAATTCTAAGTAAACTACTAGGTTTTTTTTTCTGGTTTGAATTTTTGCATAATTTTAATGATTCCCAGTCATGGAATTTCATTTGCTTGTTTGCTTGTATTTTTTTTTTTTTTTTGTCTTTTTCCGTGTCCGGCAACGGATCGCAACCCTCAGTGTTGCCCCCGCACCGGACCGGGGACGGGCAATGGGAGTGCAACCCCCGGTGTCGCTCCCGCGCCCCCTTCTCTGCATGGGCCAC